TGGGACTACAAGCATGTGCCACCATACCCGGCTAATTTTTTCTATTTTTAGTAGAGACGAGGTCTCGCTCTTGCTCAGGCTGGTCTCGAACTCCTGACTTCAAGGTATCCTCCCACCTCGGCCTCCCAGAGTGCTAGGATTACAGGTGTGAGCCATCGTTCCCGGCCCAAGAATTTTCTTAATTAAAAAGAAAAATACAACTACATCCCCAGTACCTAGAACAGGCCTGGCACTCCAAGGGCTCAATAAATATTTGTTGAATGAATTAATGAAGCATATAAGCAACTACAATAAACACATGCTTACAAAAAAAGACATCCAAATATTAACAGTGGTTTCTTTGGAGGGATGAATTTATCACAGGTAATTATTTTTTTGCTTTGTGTTTTCTGTTTCTTAAGTTTTCTGCATCAAGCATGCATTATTAATTTTTAAATTGGCCAAGCCACACTGACCAGCTAAGACTAATATTTTAGAGGCTTAAGTCTTATCCTTGAGTCTGTGGGTTCCAACATTTTATCAGTTATTTGGACCAAATCCTTGGGAACTGCTTCAGTCTACCCAGGTATATAGAATACCAATATGATATTTTAATTATTGGGATATGTAACTCCCTGTTGTCTAGAATATTCCTGCCCCTTACCCAGGGCTCCAGCTTTTACAGAATCATGGTAGTGGAATCAGTCATCAGCCGTCTGGTCAACATATAATCATATAAGGAGGTGTAGAGAGTTTTGTGGGATATTTCGTTCAGGTTAGGTAAGGGACTAGAGAATTATTCTGGATCCAGACTTCCAGGGACCAACACATTCGCATCCCTTGGACACCAGTGAATAAACACTTAAAAATTCTGATGAAAAGGATCCTTTTTCTGGGCTCTGGGAGCACTGTTACCATACAGTGGGCATGCTCATTTAATTGTTTCTCTTGAATCAATCATATTTTGGATTAATGTCTCCATGATGGGAGTTGACAGGCATCCTAGCTCCTTTGGCAAACCATGTACAAGTCACCTCTTAAAATGGACAACCCCGGCCGGGCGCAGTGGCTCACGCCTGTAATCCTAGCACTCTGGGAGGCCGAGGCGGTTGGATCGCTCAAGATTAGGAGTTCGAGACCAGCCTGAGCAAGAGCAAGACCCCGTCTCTACTAAAAAATAGAAAGAAATGATCTGGACAACTAAAAATATATATATATAGAAAAAATTAGCCGGGCATAATGGCGCATGCCTGTAGTCCCAGCTACTCGGGAGGCTGAGGCAGAAGGATTGCTTGAGCCCAGGAGTTTGAGGTTGCTGTGAGCTAGGCTGACGCCATGGCACTCACTCTAGCCAGGGCAACAAAGCGAGACTCTGTCTCAAAAAAAAAAAAAAATGGACAACCCCTGCAGTTGGTTGCTGTACATAATATGTTGATTTGTTTAAAGTAACATTTAAATTTTATATTTCAATAGGTAATACATTCATAGTCAAAATTCAAATGGCACAAGGCTTATAGTAAAAATCTCCCTCTCATCCCTGTTCCCCTCCCTAGAAATAACAGACATTATCAATTTTCTATGTATCATTCCCAGAAGATACACACACACACATACACACATACACACGCACCGGCGCACGCGCACTTTTCATCCTATATGTACATTACAATACTTTATACAGTGTTCTTCACCTTGCTTTTTTCACCAAGAATCCATCTTTGGGGTAATTTTTTTTTCGGCATATAAAGAACCTCCTCATTCTTTTTTTTCTTAAACACTTGCATAATATTCCACTGAATGAATGTACCCTCTCCTTTTTTAACTAAAGGACATTAAGATTGTTTCCAAACTTTCACTATTATCAACAATGCTCCATGTTTATCCTACGGTTGCTAATCACTTTGTATATAGGCAATATATTTTAGGATAAATTCCTAGCACTGTAATTGCTACTTCAAAGTTATGTGCATTTAAAATTGTTCTTTTTTTTTTTTCCCCCAGAGCCATGCCCAAGAGGCCTTAAGCAAGTGGACTCCTCATTTTAAATTTTTGACAAATATTGATTATATTGTCAAATTATCTCTCTTAGAGATTGTATGAGAACTTCATTGAGTATTAACAACTTACTAGATAGGCACAAACACTGATTGTGCCTATCTGATTATGAAAATAGATATGTCAGAAGAGTTTTAAGCTACGTTTTCCTCATATTGAGTGAGGGTGATCATCATTTCATGTTTATTTCCTTTTTATATATTGTTTATTTATAGCCATTGCTCATTTTTCTGTTGAGTTTATTTGCAAGAACATTTTATAAGAAAAATTAGCCCTTTGCTGTGATACGAGTTGCAAATATTTTATAGCAAACTGGCATATTTCTTTCAACTTCCATCAATTTTTTTGCCTTGACAGCACAAACTCTGCAACCAGACTGCTTGGATTTGAGTCCTGGCTCTGCCACTTTGACCTGTTGTGTGACCTCACACAAGTTACTTAACCTGTCACTCATCAGTAAAGTGGTGATATTAACAGTACCTACCTCACAGGGTTGTTGAAATTGAAAGAATGAATCTATGGAAAGGGCTTAGAAAATATTTGGCACAATGCAAGGACTAGAAAAATACTGTTTTTTTTTAAATATAGTCCAATTTAATGTTGATTCATTCTAGATCCCATTTCAAAGAAAAATTTTTATTTGCCTTGTCTTCAAATTCTGGAGGTGAAATGAAAAAAGTAATTATTTTTACTTTTGATGGTAATACACATTGTTAGGTTTACTCAGAGTGGGAACCCGAAAAGTATGTAAAGGACGTGATATTTAGTGATTATAAAGACTGAAACAAAAGCCACGGGAGTCTGGAGAGTCCGAGGTTGTAAATCTAACTTCAACCACAGACAGCTGCAGGACCACAGACTGCTGCAGCAACACAGGTATTCCTATCCCCACTGATAAGGACGAAGGTGCCTCCCTCCCCTATCTCTGCAGGTATTCCTCACTCCCCAGGGAAAAACCTCTATAAAACCCAAGGATTTTCCCTCCTTCGTGGTGGACGCTCTTTTGGCCTCTGCTCATCTGCACCCAGATGCTCAAAATAAACAGCGTTTTACTGCACCTCAGGCTTTGTGTGTCTCCCTCTTGGCTCCGGACCTAACACACATCTAGATACTAAGCCATATTCCTAATAGAGGGTGCTTAATCAATGGGAGCCGGGTGAGGTGTTTTATCGTCATGGCATTTACTCCTCAAGACAAACTTGGAGGTATGTTTTACCTGTGAAGAAACTGCGGTTGAGATACCACATAACTGGCCTAATGCCAACCTTCTTTTGTGCATTGATTTGCAAATGTTCTTTAATCTTTTTCTCAGTGTGTGTTACAGATCCCCAAGGCATATCCGGTGCCCACCCCATGTCCCCTCAGTGAATATTCAGTAGAGCTGGCTGTTTGCCATTCATTCATTCACTTGGCGAGCCCAAACCACCTCCTCTTGCCGAATTCCTCCAGTGAACCCAGCTCTTCGGCATGGAATCCAGCAACTTGACTCCCCCCCCACACCACCCCCTGCTAAAGCTCAAATCTTGCAGATCTCCCTCTGAAATGTGTCTCCCATCTACCTCTCCCTTCCACCCCCCGCTGCCACCCCCTGGTTCGGTCCTGACCACCTTTCACAAGGACTGTTACTGCAATAAGCTCCTAAGGAGTCTCCCAGCTGACTTCTGCAGTCTTTCCTCCCCAGGCCCCTCCACAGTGCTGCCCAGATGATGTTCCCTGAAACACAGCTCTAGCCCCATCACTCTCTAACTTTGAAATCCTTGGAGCTTCCTACTACCTGCTCTTTCCTTGGCATTTGAGGCCCTGCGCTATCAAGCCCCAACCCACCTTGCCAGTTTTGCTTCTAAGACTCCCCTGCCCTCCAGCCAAAACTCCTTGAACAGGTTTCCAGCCATGTTTGTTCAGCTTGCAATTTCTCTCTGATTTGATTGTCCTCAGAGTTCTTGGGGGGAAAAAAAGAATTTCTGCCTTCTCTTCAAAGCCGCTCAAGCTTATGAAGCTGTCCTTTATTGTAACTATATTCATTTACCGTATTATCACCTAGCCCCATTCCACACCCTGCACTTACTTGTTTGTAAACTCCTTGAAAGCCCAAATCCTACCTTGCTTGTTATTGACTAAAATGCCTGACACAGAGGTACAACCGATAAACCCCACAACCTGGCTTCTAATGGGTCCAGCCACTCACAGGGGCCGGGGTTAGCAGAGCGTTAATGCGTGGTGGTCCCCGCTAAGCCCAGCCTATGTGGACCCAGCTCTCATCAAACTGTCACTTCTGGCCAAGAGACCAGCACAGGCTTCCGTTTTCCTTTTGGAAGAGCTCAAGGGTGTCAGCTGAACAGGCACCGCACACAGATCATTCAAGAAATACTGGTTGTAATGAACAAGTTTTGACCTGGAGAGGACTTCACAATGTTAGATCGATTTCCTTGTTTCCACAGGAGAAATCAAGGCACAGAGAGGGGAAGAGACTCGCCCTAGGCCACACAGCTAGCAAGAAACAGAACTAGACTCCTGATTGCCAGTTCAGGGCAGGCTATTCTATGGCTTGGATCCACGAAGATCTGAGGTGAAGACTCCACCACTTATTACTTTTTCTCTCCCTCATCTTACAGCCTCCTTGGCCTTTTCACAGCAGTGGCAACAGGGCTGCTTCGGACGCCTGCAGACCAAGGAAGAACTCACCACTTCGGACGAGCCTGCCTGCAAGCTACTCCGCCCCCGACGCCGTGCCCGGCCCCGCCCCCAAGCGCGCGGACCCACACACGCCCGGCCTGGGCGGAGCCGAAACCACACACCCCGCCCTCCCCGTAAGCTCGCCCCTATTGGCGTCGACAGACAAAAGCCGCATCCAATAAGAAGGAAGGGGGGGCATCCATAGCCCTATCGGTTGCGACCACACAAAAACGGGCACACCCAACTGGCTGACGCTACACTGTGGTCTTTCTGGGTCATTCCTACTCCTGCAGCGCTGAGCCTGAGGGGGAGCCGGAAAGGACCCTCTGAACAGGTAGGCCCGTGCTGGCTGGCGTGCCCGCTGGCGTCGGTCCGAGGGCTGCTGCCGTCCCCGCTTCAGAGCTCGGGGTGGGACCGGGCGTTAAGGGGGCAAGGCCGGGGAAAGGGGCGGGGAGGAGCGAGCACGTGGAACGCCGTCCCGGCCTGGCGTGGTGGGGCCTGGCTGGTTCTGTGCAGTTGGAGCTGCACTCTTAAACTCAGGGGGCCGGCACCCCAGTTGAATGTACCCCGAGACCTGTCGCTGCGCAGGGTCTGACTGGAAAGAGCGTTCTTCCAAGCCTTGAGGTAGAAGGCCCCACCCATACCGTCACGGGCCGGCCTGCGGGCCCTTGGGGGCGATTTCCCCAGGTTGTGGTCGGCCGTTTCGGACAGGTCGACGCAACAGCTAACGCGTCTTGAGCGCGTAGCACTTACTATGCTGACTGCTTCACTGGCCTGGTATCTTTGCCCGACGCAGGAAGGGGCGTGGTTTGGGTGGCACTTGCCCCAGGTAACGCGCGAACTCGTGAATGGTGGAGCCGGTTTGGACCGGGCCTTCTCCGTGTGCGTTCACCTCCACGCTGAGGTGTGTGTCAGCGAGACAGCCCGCTTTGCCACATCTCGTGGCCTGCCCAGTGACTTCGGTAACCACGACACACCCCTCCCCTCGGTGGTCTGCAGATACTGCCTTGTGCATGGAACTGCACAGCAGGGAGGGGAGAAAACTGATGGGACAACTTCCTGGTGGAAATAAAAACCTCAAGCTCTAGTTTTAAGTAACAGTGGAAAATATACTTGAGGTCCTGTCCTGTGGGTAACCATCCCAGGGTCCGACCCACTGAGGTGGAATCGCTGTCCCACCGCTGTTTGTCTGGGTATGGTACTTAGCCGTTCAAGCCTCAGTTTCCTAATTTGTAAAATAAGAGTTTAAAACACCAATTCAGGGTGGGCGTTAGTACAAAGCCCGCCGCCTGAAGTATTTCTTACGTAAGTTTTAACAGAAAACTTTATTTATTTTTTTTACACTAAGCAGTCCTGACCGAACCGTCTGCATTTTTCTGCTTCCCTCCAGCCCTCATCCGTGTGTCCGCTTTTTGTAGCAGCTTTACAAGCCCCTGCCATTAACGTTCTCCCCGTTGCAATCCAGTGATCCTCAGGATCTTACCAGATTTCCCTGTTGGATATTTAGGCTGTTTCTCACTTTAAATATTGTAATATGCTGTAGTAAATAGGTCTTTCTTGGTTTTGAGATATTATCAACATACCATAAAATTCACCCTTTAAAAAGTATAATCCAGTGGTTTTTTTATTATATTGATAACATTGCAACCATCACCGCTAATTCCAGGACATTTTCATCCCCCCTTGGCCCTAGCATCTCAGACCCCCGATTGTGGGGCTCCCCCCAGGCTAGGCAAGGGCCCCCAACCAGGAGGGATCCACCAGGGAATTCTGGAGCTTCTCTCCTGCTGTGAATTTTGGCCTTGTGCCGCCCACCCGCTGTGTTCAGCCACCTACCTTGGCTGCTCACAGGGGCGGGCATGGCCTTTGCAGGGCCTACGCAGTGGGGATATTGAGGCCAGGCCTGGAAATGGAGTCTTGGAGGCGGGGAAGGGCTCTCAAACCAGATGAAGCATATTAGAAAGTTCTGCAAAATTTTTGCTGCTCTGGTTCGGAAAATTTCTTAACAAAGCCAACTTCACAGTGAATAAAGTCTACAGAGGTTGGTCTCGATGTATTCTGTATATGTATACTACATGTACGTACACTATACATATACTGGCTTACTGTGTTAAACCTCAAAGTGAATTGCTTTTGAAATGGGGGAAAAAGTAAAGGAAATTTGTGCTGACCCAAAATGAAGGTTTTAAAAAATAGTACACACCCAGTCATTTCAGCACCCTGCCTAGTGATATGTCATTTTACCGTGTATGTTTCATATGTGTATGTATTTGAGACAGGGTCTCCAATATGTTGCCCAGGCTGCAGTGCAGTCAGTGGCTGTTAACAAGCTTCATCATAGCGAACTGCAACCTCCAACACTTGGGACTCAAGCAATCCTCCCGCCTTAGCCTCCCAAGTCTGGAACCAGAGGTGCCACTGAGCCCAGCTTCTCCTCCTTTTTTTTTTTTCCTTAAGGTCATGGGTCCCAAAGCATTTTACTTTCTTTTTTTTTTTTTTTTCAATTATTTGGGGGTGGGGGAGGGTCTTCCAGTGACAACCAGAAAACCTGCTAGACAAATTCTAAAAGAGCTATAACACTCCAAAGCATTTTATATTAATGCACTGCACCTATTTAGTAATGCTATAGTAAGTAGATATAAAACCCAAAAGATCTAACAATTCCAACTTCAGTTCTATTCCATGAAGCCTTAAGTAAAAAGACCAGTTTGTTTTGTTTTATTGAAACTTTCATTGAAACATAAAATTTCGTCACTTGATCTGTAAGTTTACCTTTCAGCAAGAACATAATCAAACAGAATAAAAAAAAAATGTGACACCAAGATGACAGTGTTTTACAGATATACATAAAGCATACATTTAGGCTTAAATAAAACTCATGTTCAGGCCGGGCACAGTGGCTCACGCCTGTAATCCTAGCACTCTGTGAGGCCAAGACAGGCAGATCGTTTGAGCTCAGGAGTTCGAGACCAGCCTGAGCAAGACCAAGACCCCATCTCTACTAAAAATAGAAAGAAATTAGTTGGACAACTAAAAATATATAGAAAAAATTAACCGGGCGTGGTGGCGCATGCCTGTAGTCCCAGCTACTCGGGAGGCTGAGGCAGAGGATCGCTTGAGCCCAGGAGTTTGAGGTTGCTGTGAGCTAGGCTGACGCCACGGCACTCTAGCCTGGGCAGCAGAGCCAGACTCTGTCTCGAAAAAAATAATAAAACCAGAATCAAGCTGAACATGAGTTTGTTTTTTTTTTCCGCCCGCCTCAGCCTCCCAGAGTGCTAGGATTACAGGAGTGATCCACTGCGCCTGGACTTGATTCTGGTTTTAAAACAAAGTTGCTGTCATATTAAGATATCATATGTAGTACCACAGTTTTTGGAAAGCTAATGATTTGGTGGAATGTTGCAGAAGAAAAAACAAGCAAATAGGGGGATGGCACAGAATGCTGCAATACAAGGCTCTTCAACCTTGAAAAGAAAGGAAAGAAGCACACATGGAACATACATCATTTAAAAGTCTAAAAATTTTACTAAGCTACCACCTAGTTAATAAAAGGGTACACAGTCACCATTATTCCTGAAAATATAAAACAGTTTAATTAGATCCTTTATGAAGTCATTTGGGATAACTGGAAAAAACAATTATTCATAACAGAAAGACTTTCTAGAAAGCTTTTTTTTTTTTTTTTTCATTTTTTTAATAAGCTCTGGCCAGTTTTATTAAAGAAAAAATTTGCATGGTTTATTTTCCACCGGTCTGTTCTGGCATGCTTCTAATGAATGGATATCAGAATCAGTTGATCAGTTATAGCCAGTGTGCGTACTCTGTAGTATTTTCCTCATGCTTTACCCAGTTCAATATTATTGCCACTGTAGTGATGGACGCCCAGTTTTGGCCAACATGGCATAGTACTCTATTTCAGATTTCCTCAAAGCTGGGCAGTTGTTGGTGAGGATGACCAGTTTCAGTTTGCCTTGTCTGATCATCTTCAGAGTCTGCTTCTACCCCAGCACATACTTTCCATTTTTCATAACAAGTTGGAGCCTCAAGTTGATCTACTTCTGCCACTTTTTTGTCTTTGTGCCCACCATCTTCCTGCCTTAGGTACAGGATGCCCCCAACCAAGAGTAGCCACCAAGATGGCCAGGGAGCGAGAAAGCTAGAAAGCTTTACAAAAAAAAAAATGCCTGTACTAGTTAACAGCCACCCCCCATTCTCTACTCCCCCCAACATCCCCCACCTCACCTCTGGAAACTACAAATCTGCTCTCTTTGGATTTTCCTATTCTGGAGATTTTCATATACATGAAATCACACAGTATGTGGCCTTTTGTGTCTGGCTTCTTTCAGTTAACATGTTTTTAAGGTTCATCCACACGTAACACATATCAATACTTCATTCCTTTTTAATGGTTTAATAATCTATTGTATGGATGTGCCACATTTTGTTTATCCATTCATCAGTTGACGGAAATTTGGGTGGTTTCCATTTTTTGGCTATTATGAATAATGCTGCTGTGAACATTGGTGTCCAAATTTTTGTATGACTATATGTTTTCATTGCTGCTGAGTGTATACCTAGGAGTAGAATTGCTAGGTCACATAGTAACTGTATGTTTAACCTTTTGAGGAACTGCCAGGCTGTTTTCCAAAGTGGCTGCAGCATTTTACAATTCCTACCAGCAGTGTATGAGGGTTCTGATTTTTCCACATCTCACCAACAGTTATTATCTGCCTTTTTTTTTTTAATCATAGCCACCCTAGTATGGAGTGGCATCTCATTGTTGTTTTGATTTGCACCTCCTTAGTGACTAATGATGTTGAGCATCTTTTCATGTGTTAATTGGCCACTTGTGTATCTTTGGCAAATGTCTATTCAAAATTTTTGCTCTTTTAAAAAATTTTTTGTCTCTTTGAGTTGTAAGAGTTCTTTATTCTGGATCCTAGATCCTTATTAGATACAGGATTTCCAAATATTTTCTCCCATTCTGTAGGTTGTTTTTTTGCTTTCTTGATAGTGTCCTTTGATGCATGAAAGTTTTTAATTTTGGTGACACCCAATTTATATATATTTTCTTGTGCTTGAGGTGTTATATTTGAGAATACATTGCCTAATCCAAGATCATTATGATTTACACCTTGGGTTTTTTTTGGTTTTTTTTGAGACAGAATCTCACTCTTTTGCCCGTGCTAGAGTGAATGCTGTGGCGTCAGCCTAGCTCACAGCAACCTCAAACTCCTGGGCTCAAGCAATCCTCCTGCCTCAGCCTCACGAGTAGCTGGGACTACAGGCACGCGCCACCATGCCCGGCTAATTTTTTCTATATTTAGTTGTCCGATTAATTTCTTTCTATTTTTAGTAGAGACGGGGTCTCGCTCTTGCTCAGGCTGGTCTCGAACTCCTGAGCTCAAACGATCCTCCCGCCTCGGCCTCCCAGAGTGCTAGGATTGCAGGCGTGAGCCACTGCGCCCGGCTTACACCTTTGTTTTCTTATGAGAGTTTTATAGTTTGTAACTTTTCTGTAATTTTCAGATTGTTATTGCTAGTATATAGAAATACAGCTGATATTTAATATATTGATCTTGTATCCTGCAACCTTGCTGAACTCATTTATTAGCTCTGGCAGTTCTTTGTGTGTGGATTCTTTCAGATTTTCTATATATAAGATCATGTTATCTGCAGAGATAATTTTACTTGTTTCCTATTTTGATGCCTTTTGTTTCTTTGTCTTGCCTAATTGCCTGGCTAGACCTTCCAGTACAATGTTGAATAGAAATGGTGAGAACAGACATCTTGTCTTATTCCTGATTTTAGGGGGGAAAGCTTTCAGCCTTTTCACCATTAAGTGTGATATTAACTGTGGGGGTTTTTATTAGATGCCTTATCAGGTTGAGGAAATTACCTTCTATTTCTAGTTTGTTGAGTGTTTCTATCATGCAAGGGTGTTGGATTTTGTCCAGTGCTTTTTCTGCATCAATTGAGATAATCATGAGACTTTTTTCCCCTCCTCTGTTCTCTTAATACTGTGTATTACATTGGGAGTTGGGAGTATAAAGAGAGTGTAATGCAGAATGGTAAGTGCAAGCATGAACTGTAAAGCAGCCATTGAGAGTGAACTGCATTTGCATTTGTGGAAGACATACTTCCCATTCCTGAAACAGGCTTCTTAAAAGTACTGAAAAGATACTATCTTCATCCTAGTCTTTAAGCCCTTTCTGTATTTGGAAGGCTTCTGTTAGTGTGGCTTTTTAAAATGATTTTTGCTTTATCTCGCTTATAACATCACTTGATGTTGTCAGCCACCCTAACTCTACTGTAGTGCATGAACCTGTGCCTGTATGAGTTAGTGGTATAGAAATGTTCTCCCTAAAATCAGCACTCACCAGTGATCTTAACCATCTGCTGTGTCCTTCTGATTGGGCAGCCCCTGTTGAGGATAATGGTGTAGGCGGGGCATGGTCCTGCCTCCTGGTGATCTGAAGTCTTTGACTACCGATACTTGTGTTCCTCACTGTATTCATGCATTATTACATAATGAAAACAAACTAGAAGCACTTCACGTGCAGAATGTGTGCTGTAAAACTTTGACGTTTTTATAGAGTTGGTAATAATAATAAACTTCATGTCAGTATGGCTTATTTTTCTTGCCAGTCCTCTTGGCACTGTCCATACATGCTTTGCTTCCTGTGCACAGTACCTTTCAGCTTATAACAACTAATAATAAATACAACTTTATTCTTTGGCTGGGGTATAAGATAACTGATTCATGGGGAAACCCACACACGTGTTCAGGAGCCGTTGTTGAGAACAATGAATAAAATGATGTTACCTTTGGACTTGCTGGGGATAATGATATTATTTACAGAGAAGGGAAATATAGATAGGCAAAGAGCAAACTGGGAGTTAGGGAGAGATCATGAACTCACTTTTGAGCCTGTTAAGTCTGTTGGGACTATGGAAATAGAAGACAGCAGTTTAGGAGCTTGGTGCTCAGTAGGGATAATAAGGATGCTAGGGTTTAAGATGAACCTACGTTGGTGAGTGAGATGGTGTTTAGTATGAAAAGAAGAGAATCTAGGCAGGACAGTGGAAAACATACACTTACAGAGTGTGTGACCCAGGAGAAATGAGCAAAGAATTAATTTGACAAGTAAGAAGAAAACCAAGAGAAAGATATTGCAGAAGCCAAAGGAAGAGTGAAACTTCGTGGTGTATGCCACATGTTGCAGGAATAAGGGCCAAAAAGAGACCACTAACTTGGGCAAGTAGGTGAGCATTAATATGTCAGCAAGAAAATTTTAGGAGAAAGGTGAGGATGAAGGAGGCCTGACTACAGTGGATTGGGGAATGTTGAGAAATGAAGATGTTGAATTTGTATGTGTAGACCATTCTTTCAGAATATTTCCGTTCCTTTTGGAGTAGAGATGGAGCACATACAAATGGAAAACCTGGGCATGTTTATAAGCTGAGATAAGGAGAGGGAGACATTAACATATGTGGGACCAGATGTCCACAGAGTCCCTGGGAAGGGATGAGTTCAACTGCCAGGTGGGATGGGTTTGCCTTGAAAAGGCACAGGGACACCTGTTTGTCCAAGACAAGAGGGGAAATAATTAGTAAAGGCAGGTATTTCTGCAGTGGATGGGAGAGAAGTTAGGGTATTCATGCCTGGTAATATCTCTTCTTTATGGGATGGAGAACTATGCTATCTACTACGGGAAATGGGAAGGAAGTGGGAAGGGATGTCATGAGAATGCTGGAGGCAGCCCTTTACAGGTAAGACTTGGTGTGGCCGATTTGATGATAACCTGAGGTGGGCCATCCTCTTACCTAGTTTTAAGCATGAAGCAACTGTCAAGAAGCAAACAGAAAAACATGAGCACACACGTATGTATATAATTTTCATTTTCTCTTTTAGGAACAGAAATGAGTAAAAACAGCTGGCCGAGTAGGAGAAGACATGGAAGAAGAATCTATCAGCAGAACCCTTGGTTCAGACTACGTGATTCTAACGAGAGGCAAGTATGCCAGGGCTGGGGGGCCAGTTTGTGCCCAGTGTTGTTCTGGCATTATCCATTATATTGCGACTCACACACTCATGTGTGTATCACTGGGGGCTCATCAGAATGCAGATTCTGATTCTGTGAATCTGAAGTGGGGCCTGAGAACAGTCTACAGGACATGTTGCTGCTGCTGGTCAGCCCACCACATGGAGTAGTGGAGAGATACGGACACACTCGTCTTTCTTTCCAGAGTGATCATCACTTCTAGTCAGAGCATTAGCCATGAGGCTAGAATTAGATGTCTGAAACAACAGGAAAGCCATTTCTCCACATTGTGGGCTTTATATTTCAGCTAGTCTTTATGGAAAGCTAATTTTATTAATTTAGTCTAAGTCTTGGGAAAAGGATATACAGTCATGCATCGCTTAGTGAGGGGGATATGTGTGAGAAATGCGTTAGACGATTTCATTGTTGTGCAGACATAGAATGTACTTTCACAAACCTAGATGGTATAGCCCACTAACACACCTAGGCTATATGGCACAGTCTACTGCTTCTAGACTACAAATCTGTACAGTATGTTATTGTACTGAATACTGGGCAGTTGGAACACAGTGGTGAGTATTTGTGTTATCTAAATGTACCTAAAGATAGAAAAGGTACAGTAAAAATATGGTATAAAAGATAAAAAATGGTACACCTGTATAGGGCACTTAACATATATGGAGCTTACAGGACTGGAAGTTGCTCCGGGTGAGTCAGTGAGTGATGAGTGAATGTGAAGGCCCAGGACATTACTATATGCTGCTATAGAATTTATAAACACTGGACCCTTAGGCTACACTAAATTTATTCAAAAAATACAGTAATTGTGCTACAATGTCACCAGGCAGTAAGAATTTTTTAGTTCCTTTATAATTTTAACGGACCACTGTCCTACATGTGGTCCATCATTGACTGAAACATCGTTGTGTGGCACATAACTGTAGGGTTATATATATTTATGTTATAAATGTGTATGTATTAATAATATACTACACAAAAATGTATAAACAATAATACAGTATCACCAGTGCAGTGGCTCACTCTTGTAATGCCAGCTACTTGGGAGGCTGAGGCAGGAGGATCACTGGAATCCCAGAGTTTGAGGTTGCATTGAGCTGTGACAATGCCACTGTAGTTAAGCCTGGGCAACAGAATGAGACCTCATCTCTAAAAGTAAAATAAAATAAAATGGACAGAGTCCTAGTTATAGGGTCAGAAGATGTCAAATATCAACGTGCTCCTCTGGAACAGATTAACCCAAACAATAACAAAAAGCCTTTAGAGGCTGTGAAAAGAACAAGGGCTTTAGAGTCAGGAGGTCTGGGTCAGACACCCTGCTTTCCTGTGTGAAATTAGACAAGTTACTTAATCACTCTGAATCATTGAAATTCTTGTACAAAACAGGACTAATAAAACCTTTCATGAGGTAATGATGTATGTAAAGGCCTTAACTGGCTGCCTGACTCTGAATAGGCCTCATTACATGGTGGGTTTCATTAGGTGCAGATTCCCAAACCTGACCCATATTGTAGAAAGAGCAGGACAGTGCCCAATGTTTGTATGTTTTGTAAGGAGAACCATGGATACTTTTTGGGCCCCAGGCCTTTCCCACAGGAGCACATTGTGAGCAAAATGTGATCTGTGGAAGAAGAGAGTCCCAGCTCGGCTTTGGCAGAGTGGCGTGGAAACCTGCTGGACAGCCACCTTCTGGGCTCCGTGTGGAAAGAATGGAGCAGCAGTCCTTGGACTAGAAACACACATTTGTCATGACGCTTAATCCTTCCTCTTCCTGCTGATCACAGATGAGCTGCCTCATCAAACTCTGGGCCATGAAAAGGGGAATAAATAAATTTCCCCAAAACTGTGCATAGCATTAGTATTTATAGAGGAAAGAGAACGTTCTTTCATTCCTTCAACCTAGTTTTGCAGTTTGTGTTCCTTTTGGTGTGTGTGGTGGGGTGGGGGGATGTTCTTGATTTTAAAGTGAATTTTATCGGGATTCTGAAATAAGGTCTTGCTTTATCATCATATCCTTAAGCCTGTAATTGCCACAGAAGCTGCTTGTGACTTTACACATTGAGTGTGTTAACCATGGCTCTATCCCAGCATTACTGAGCATATTATCTCTGTCCCCTGAACCCTAGTTTCTCTGTAAAGTTGCATGGGCAAGTAAAATTTAAACTCTTTGTACTACTGAATCCAATAAAGAATGAAATTCACCTGGCTTTGAAACTGCTGTTAAGCTGACAAGTGAACACAGCTGGTAACATTCTTATTGGCAAATTTCTGTTCTCCTTTTTATCTGAAAAATTCCAAAAGACCTCACAAAATGCTAAAGTGAGGAGATGAGGAAATTACTGTGACATGCATCTTCTTTTAAAAAAAAAAAAAGAAAAAGAAGCCAAAACCTTGCCCTTATTTTGGTGTATTTGTAATAGGGGTTAGTGCTCCCCAAGGAATCAGGTCAGATGTTCAGGAGGGAAGGCTGCAGAACTGCCTGAATAAGCCTCCCAGTCAGAGAATGACTGGGAACGCAATCCCTGAGCTGCAAGTTACCGCCACTGTGTGTCAACAGGTATGACCCAGGAGCACTGCAGAGCACTCAGGATTCTGGTCCCGGTGATGACGAGTCCCCATCAACCTCATCTGGCGTAGCCGGGAGTTCTTCTGTGCCAGGTAAGGCAGTCTGCTTGGTAGGGCTCCTCTGGTCTTGCCCCTGGGAAAAGGTGAAACCTCATCTTGCCTTATCATCTGGCTGCCCCTCCTCCTCAGCCAGGGCTCAGATGTGTGTCTGTGTATCTCTTCACTTGAATGGATGTCACCAGCCCATTCCTGGCTTGGAAGGAATTCTAGAAGCAAACTGAAACACTCAGTGAAGGAGCTGAGTGCATCAGGAACAGTGATCCTGAGGCAAATAGTCTCCCCCAGGACTGAATTCAGTCCAGGATAGTGCCTGACAATGGCAGCCCACCCTTGGCCTGCAGAGGACAGGCAACTGTGAAGGGTGGTAGACAGGCCACTGGGCTCCTTATGAGGTGGTCAATCACAGTGTTTTAAGTTAGTGAATTTAGTTTTTTTGACTGAAGACCTACCAGGGTATTACTTCGACCCTGAAAAGAAACGCTACTTCCGCTTGCTTCCTGGACATAACAACTGCAACCCCCTCACGAAGGAGAGCATCCGGCAGAAGGAAATGGAGAAAAAAAGACTGCAGCTGCTTGAGGAAGAGGACAAGCAGAAAAAGGTAGGCTCCATACCCCTAGGCTTACCCTGTCCCCTCCACTCCTGCCAGCACCCATCCATCCACAGCTGAAAGAGGTGCCAATTAGACAACCCTGTGATAATTAGCTCGGCCACCTTAAGGAGTGTGGCCCCAGATTTTCCTATCAAGAAAATGATGACGAGAATAAGAACAGGCAAGAAATCCCTTCCTCCCACCCCACTTTTCTTGTTTGCTAAGTATCACCAGTAGTTCTAACATTTTGTCATTTCCCAGGAGAATCTTGGGGAGCAGCGAGATGTTATTTCAGTAACTGTCTATTTTAGGTAGAAAACCAGGATGCGTGGTTTTGATGTGTGTGATTTGCAGTGCCACAGGCAGTGCTGAAGACAGGCTTAGATGCAGGATATTCTGTTGGGTGTGGGGGCAGTAGAACAGAAAATCCTGGCCCACAGGTGGAATGGGGAGTCTGGTGCAGACCTGAGTTTCCAGTCCCCTCGCCATGTTCACTAGCTTGGTGGCTTCATCACCCCAGGTGTGCATGGAGGGGAAGATAGGACAGAGGAGCTGAACAGACTTTCCAACTCACACGTACTTTCTTGTGCTGGGCTTTTTTTTTCCCCCTCTTGTCAAGGAGTGGAGGCTTGCAAAAGACACTGTCAGATTTTTATGCATATAATTTCTGCCCGTTCTTCATTGCATCCTATGGAACTAAAAACATTCTCTGTTATCCTTTAACAAATAAATTGTCATTGATTTTTTTTTTTTTAACTTAGAAAATAGCCAGATTGGGATTTAATGCATCTTCTATGCTGCGAAAAAACCAGCTGGGTTTTCTCAATGTCACCAATTATTGCCGGTAAGACAATGCCTCGTTGTTATGTTTTTTAATGAATGTTCTTTTCCTGTTTCTTATTTCCATGGTCCAAGAATCCAATCAGGATAGACCATGTGGCTACCTTGTGAGAGTCTTCACAGTTGAGGGACTCCAGTTCATCACCTCTGTCTGCTGCTTAAGCCAGTCCTGAGACAATCATTCTCTCTCTAGAGCAAGGGAAGGAGAGTCTTGCAGGAGGATGGGGAGAGAGAATGGGGATTTAGGCAGAAATTACTCAAATTGTTTACTCTCTGTTACTCATAAATCATTTTTAGTAGAGGTCCTACATCTTCATTCCTATGAGATTTCTGGCTCCTTCTCTTACCCATCTAATGAGTTGTCACCAAAAATGGGGCATTATATGGATGTATATGTACTAAACTTTATCAAAATACTTGGTACACAATTCTAACTAAAACCCTATGAGATAGGTTGATACTCCCCCCCCCCATTTTCTGAAGAAGAGACTGAGGCTCAGAGTGGAGTGATTTGGTCAAGGTCAAGCTAGAAGGGTGGGAACTGTCTGACTCTTAACATGTGAGCTTCTAACCCTGCCATCTGCTTCACTGGCTGTATACACATGCATTTGAGGTGCTTCCTGGGGGCACAGCCTTCTCACCTTGGGACAGTGCCCCCTTCAGGGAAGGCCAGCCATGCAGGAGGTATCAGGCAGGTGCTAAGAGGGAAAGAGTTAGAGGTCTAGTTAGAGAGATCTGGTTTTCACCCTAAAATAGGCTTCATCCTTAGTGGGAAAGTAGCTGTGCAGTGGGAGAGGAAAAGAACAGCAGGGTGGGTGGCCACATACCTGGGTGCATCTCAAAAGCAGCAGTTGTGCTAGATGTAGAAACAGACTCCTCTCCAGCTCTCTTTAAGTCTGTGAATGGGCTACCCAGTTCTTTATTTGAGACAGAGTCTCACTCTCTTGCCTGGACTAGAGTGCTGTGGCATCAGCCTAACTCACAGCAACCTCAAACTCCTGGGCTCAAGCAATCCTTCTGCCTCAACCTCCCGAGGACCTGGGACTACAGGCGCACGCCACCACATCCAGCTAATTTTCCTGTGTTTTTTTAGTTTCCCAGCTAATTTTTTCTGTTTTATAGTAGAGACGGGGTCTCGCTCTTGCTCATGCTGGTCTCAAACCCCTGACCTCAAGTGATCCTCCCGCCTTGGCCTTCCGGAGTGTTAGGGTTACAGGTGTGAGCCACCGTACCTGGCCGCACCCAGTTCTTTGTTTTCAATTTCCTTAGCATTCTGTGGGGAAACTGAAATTCAGATTTTCTGGAATTTTGCTGAGCTGCGTTGCTGAGAAGTAATGTGGAAAGGGCCAACTAGGAGAAGGGGTGGGGAAGGGCAGAAACCTCTGGATCATCTTCACAGATGTCGGTTATGGCATCCATGCTCTTCCCTTCCCCCATTTCCCTCTGCAGTTTAGCCCATGAGCTGCGTGTGAGCTGCATGCAAAGGAAGAAGGTCCAGATTCACAGCTCAGATCCCTCTGCTTTGGCAAGCGACCGATTTAACCTCATACTGGTGAGTGGAGGGGGCGGGGACATCTGTGGATGCTGGTGTGGCTGCCACTACCTGGATGCTTCATGGCTTGGTGTTGGTGGTCGTCAAGCCTCGCTGTGTAGGAGCTGAATGCTGTGAAAGTGACAGTATCTTTGCTTTACCATCCTAACTTGCCCACCAATTACCCATTGGTAGGTGCTGAGCTGGCAGGACAAGCTGTGCTGTGACCATCACCACCTCCACTTCAGCTCCTCATTTGACACTAGAACTTGGGCCCAGCCACACCTAAGAACCAACACAAAATAACTTCTTGGCTGTGTTGTGTATGCAATTGAAAAGGTACACAGTGGACCAGGGGGCTTCTAAACTTTCCTAAACTGGGGCAGGATTTGGTGTTAAACCTGAAGCTCCAGTGTGCCTTCAGTAGCAACCAGCTATGACTCCCTTGCTTGCTGCCCTGACCTCAGTGGCAGGGGCCTGCAGGCCTGTGTCCCTGGGCCTGCACATCAGCACACCTCCAACACATCATTTGCAGGGAGTGGAAAGTCCTCTGCTTTTGATTAGATCTGAGCTAGAAGCTGAGGCCAGGGAAATGTTGGCAGAGAGACAGAGGGTCCACTGCAAACAAGAGAAGCATGACAGCATAGCCTGCCTGGCGAGCCCTGTTCTCTTGGAGGCCAAGGGAGAGCCAAGAAGAGTGAGAGAAGGACACAAAAGCAAAGAGAGCCTTGGCCCAATGCCCTGCTGGCAGGAGCGGAGGCTGATACTACACACTGACCCTTGAGCTTGATGCTGAATCCTCTTGCCCCAGGGACCTTGGCAATAGGGCCTTTTCACAGAAGGCATGTTGGGGACAGGGCCCAGATTTTCTCCTGCAGCTTTGCTCTCCATGTGTGTTTGGGGTACAATCTGACCTGAATCAGGAGAATATTTTCTTATGGTGGGTTCCCCTAAGGAATCCCTTCCCAGGGATAAAGCAGGTAGGGCCGGTGGAGGGTCAGTGGTGTGTAGAGTCTCATGGTACGCTCGCTGCCTGAGCCCCTTGATCCGCATGCTCGTCTCACCTTATATAAAAGCTGTGTGTGCTACCTGCTGCCCAAAGTTACAGGTGACTCTGGCTGGCTGGTGTGACCAGAGAGCCGGGAAAGGCAGTTTGCCACCTGGAGAGCAGTTTTTCAGATCTGATTATAGTCACTGGTAATGATTGTTCCAGGAATATAACTGTTCTTTCTGAGTGTATTTGCAAAGTTGGTGTGGTTTGACCAGCATCCAAACCTGTGTGCATGTGTATATATTTATTAATATACACAAAGCACATAAATATAGTTTTTGCTTCGAAATAATTACTAATCACATCATGTTTTAAAATGAGAAAAGAAAATCTTTTTTTTTTTTTTTGAGACAGAGTCTCGCTCTGTTGCCCAGGCTAGAGTGCCATGGTGTCAGCCTACCTCACAGCAACCTCAAACTCCTAGGCTCAAGCGATCCTCCTGCCTCAGCCTCCTAAGTAGCTGAGACTACAGGCATGCGCCACCATGCCTGGCTAATTTTTTTTTTCTGTATATTTTTAGTTGTCCAACTAATTTCTTTCTATTTTTAGTGGAGACAGAGTCTTGCTCTTGCTCAGGCTGGTCTCGAACTCCTGAGCTCAAATGATCTGCCCGCCTCAGCTTCCCAGAGTGCTAGGATTACAGGCGTGAGCCACCGCGCCCCGCGTCCGGCCTAGCTAATTTCTTTCTATTTTTTAGTAGAGACAGGGTCTCGCTCTTGCTCAGGCTGGTCTCGAACTCCTGAGCTCAAACGATCCACCCGCCTCGGCCTCCCAGAGTGAGAAAAGAAAATCTTAAAAATAGCCCACATCCTAAGGTAGTCTTTTCCTATTGTGCTTTTTATTCAGTGCAGTGTTTTTTTTCCTTGGCGATGATCATCGTGCCTGTGTAACAGGAACTAGCATTTTCTATGTTGCTGCATGGCTTTTGTGATGGCACATGACACATTCCTCTGGGTGGATGCTGGGACTCTCCCAAACCCAGTTCTGAGTAGAGTCTCAGATCTGTGCAGATCTCAGACTTCCTGGCCTTGCCTTCATACTGCCATCCTCATCCCTGCTCTGAATTGTTGGACCAGACTCCTCCTGTTTTTGCCCAGAGATAGCTATGCTGAGTAGGGGAGAGTTAGGTTGTCTCCATGCTCCCTCATGAAGAGGAGCTGTCACCTAGTGAAAGTGCACAGACATGGGACCAGGAGAGATGGGCAGGTGGTCCTAAGCAGCCCACCCACCTCAGTTTGGGAGGTCACTGACTGCCCACTGCCCTCCTCTAGGCGGATACCAACAGTGACCGGCTCTTCACAGTGAACGATGTCAAAGTTGGAGGCTCCAAGTATGGCATCATCAACCTGCGCGGTCTAAAGACCCCCTCACTCAGGGTTCACATGCACGAAAACCTCTACTTCACCAACCGGAAGGTATGTTGCCTGTCCCCTTAGACTTGCAGAACATTTGCTTTTGGGGTGGTTGGCCAAGTTCAGAGTAGAGAACTTTGGGAAGAACACAAGGCATGGTTATCTCATTTTCCCAAGGGACAAATGGATTTCTAGTTCCTGAGAACCCTAGGGGAAGAAAAGGGACCCGAGAGTTTCTTCTCTTGGAAAAGAAAGTTAATTTAGACAGTTGAGGTAGGTGGAGGCAGTGCTTCTTTTTTTTTTATTTATTTTTTTTTCCAAAACAGAGTCTCGCTTTTATTGCCCGGGCTAGAGTGAATGCCGTGGTGTCAGCCTAGCTCACAGCAACCTCAAACTCCTGGGCTCAAGCGATCCTTCTGCCTCAGCCTCCCGAGTAGCTGGGACTACAGGCACGTGCCACCATGCCCGGCTAATTTTTTCTATATATATATATTTTTTTTTTTTTTAGTTGTCCAGATCATTTCTTTCTATTTTTTAGTAGAGATGAGGTCTCACTCTTGCTCAGGCTGGTCTCGAACTCCTGACCTTGAGCGATCCACCCGCCTTGGCCTCCCAGAGTGCTAGGATTACAGGCGTGAGCCACCGCGCCCGGCTGAGGCAGTGCTTCTTTAACTGGTTGTAAGGACTGCCCCTCCAGGAGGGTCAAGAGTTGCTCTGAAGGGGCCCACACCAAGGCATAGAGTTCCTGGGACATGGGCCACGGTGACCATGGCCTGGATGGAGGGGTCGTTCCCTGTGCACCAGAACAACGCGTCAGCCAGTCTGGCCAACCCTGAGGTTTAGATAAATCTAGGAGCTCCCTATCCATGGGGGCAACCTTTAAATTGCAGTGGGGTGATGGCTGCATCTGGGAGAAGCCGTGACTTTTTGTTCCTTTGGGACACGAGCCACAAGATGAATACAGGTTGAAAATGGTTTCTGGGTGAAGTGAGATACAGTACACCTTCAGAGTTAGGCTTGTCCCTTGCCATTGTAGAGAATTAAGTTCTGCCTGCAGGGTATACCTAGATATAGCAAGTATCTCCTTGGACTCATGCTGGTGTTGAAGGACTGAATCCTGGGGGTTACTTCCTCCCTGTCCCGTTCAAGTCCTACCTGGCAGAATAGGCAGATCCCTGTCCTCAGAATTTTTGTTCCAGCCCATTTGAAGAGGAGCAAGACCTGAGGAAAGAAGTCACATGTCTGTATCCCCACAAATTATTCTACAGGAAAACATTGTACTACTTTCTCTCCATCGGTTGGCAGTCAAAGCAATCTTTTCATCTTGCTATGTGCTTCCCCACCAGGTGAATTCTGTGTGCTGGGCTTCGCTGAATCACTTGGATTCCCACATTCTGTATCCTTTGGCAGATGAAGAGGTTTGGCGGGCAGGCCATGCCCTGATGTGGACCTAAGCATCTGTGGGCTTTGTGAGATGGCATCTTAATGGCCAGAGGGCTGGGCCATTCTGCACTTATATCTCACACTTTAGAAAAAAGCAGTGGTGCTGGGTGAAGTGGGCTCATGTCTGTAATTCCAGGACACTGGGAGGCCAGAGCAGGAGTATCAGCTGAGGTGAGGAGTTAGGGACAAGCCTAGGAACATAGCAAGACCCTGTCTCTACAAAAAAACAATGCCCGTGAGTAGAAAACAAGCATTCCAGTGGAGCACAGAGAAGCAGTTGAGGTCCCGTGATGGCCATTTCTCAGGATGACGTTGATGTCACTATGTGCCAGACACTGTTCTAGAACTTGACGTGTAAGTGGTGGAGATAAGATTGGAACCCAGGCATTCTGCTCCTGAGCCTGCCCACTCTCCCACTGTGGCATGTGGTATCAGGTGCTGGGGTCAGTAGACAGACCCAGCATTCTGCCAGAGAGTTTGTGCTTTAGCAGATGAAGAAAAGCAGAAGGGGGCCGGGCGCGGTGGCTCACGCCTGTAATCCCAGCACTCTGGGAGGCCGAGGCTGGCGGATTGTTTGAGCTCAGGAGTTCGAGACCAGCCTGAGCAAGAGTGAGACCCCGTCTCTACTAAAAATGGAAAGAAATTAATCGGACAACTAAAAACTATATAGAAAAAATTAGCCAAGCATGGTGACGCATGCCTGTAGTCCCAGCTACTCGGGAGGCTGAGGCAGTAGGATCGCTTGAGCTCAGGAGTTTGAGGTTGCTGTGAGCTAGGCTGACGCCACGGCACTCTAGCCCGGGCAACACAGTGAGACTCTGTCTCAAAAAAAAAAAAAAATATCTGAATCTAAGTGTGGAAAATGTAAACACGTGTTAAATCTGGATATCGGGTGTTATTCTCTGTCCTACTTTGTGTGTTGTACACTTTTTTGAAGGGTAAATGTCCGTTCTTCCTCCCAGAGGGAAGCCTTTTACTTGACTATCCTTAACAGCTTTTTCTAGGCTGTGCCTCATGGGACTTGCAGAGACTCCAGGCTGTGCCACCCTGCTCCCAGCATCACTGTTCGTCAGTAGTCACCCAGGTACAGGGTCCTTTTCCTTTGCAGAGGTCAGTGCTTTTAGGAGGTCTCTGTCCTCTGTCCCATGGGAGCTCCGTGGGGGTGGCTCAGAGAGGAGGTGTGGGAACTGCAGGCTGGCTGAGCTGGAGTCAGCGCTCACAGGGTAGAGACACTGCAGAAGCACTGTGGGAGGATTCCTTAAGCCTGTCCCAGGATTAGTACTAGAAGCGTGTGTGTTTTACAGTGTCTGCTCCTTTTTTACCCCTTTTGGGTCATTTCAACAGCCAGACTAGCGTTAGACTGTATTCAACAAATGCAAGAGATCAGAGCACTGATTTGGATTGCCTGTACAGATATTCAGAAGACGTCTATTAAGCTCCTACTGCACTACTGGAGATACTTACAGCATTTCTGGCTGAAGGGAGTTTGCTCCTTCCTGGCAGCACTCTAGATACTAAGTTTTCAGTATTTTAGAGAATTAGGATCAATAAGACAAGGATCAGGCCTCTAAGCATGCACACTGCAGGCAGACCTGGCACAGATCCCAGCTCTGCCCTTTACCAACTCGAACAGACTGCTGAACCCCTTTGAAGAGAAGACAGCACCACCCCTTTAGCTTCCATGGAGAATGAGATGAGCTCACGCACACTTGGCCCAGTGCCTGGCATTTCATCACACAGCAAGCATATGGGGCAGGAATGTGTCTTATCACCATTTTACAGATGAGGAAACTGAAGCAAAGACAGGTTCAGAATTTACTTTACAAAACCAAATTTTAGTGTTCGAAATCAGGATAGTGGTTCCCTTTGGGGAGGAGTTAGGGGACTAGTAATTGGAAAAGGGATGTGAGGGGGGCTTCTGGGGGTACTGGGTTGTTTTAATTCTTAACCTGGGTGGTGAGTGCATGGCTATATTTACTTCGTGATAAGTCATTGAACTAACTATATCCTTAGGATTTGTGCCTAAGTGCACAAAGTTTAGTTTTAAAATGTTTTACTTGAGATCACATAGCTGATAGTGTGATCTGGTAGGGTGACACTACGCTGCCTCCCTGATAGCTATTAGTACTGTTAACACAACTA